AATGGAAAACCTAGAGCAAAAGGATTATCATGTTCTCTTCTTATCCCACTGATAAGGATGTAGAGTTCTGTAGGTGCAATTGGTTGTATTTGGACATGGATTTCAGGAATAAACTGTTCTGATTTTTGGTAAACATGAAAACTTTTTTTTTGGTGCATAAATAATGTTCTTAGTTTCTGAATCATTATATGGTCAAGGCTGTTCGCAGGTGCCGGAGCTAACTTATCCCCTCCCCTCAGCTTTCTGTTGCTGTGATATGGATATGCACCACCATACCCAACTAGTGGGCAGCTGTCTGAAGTTTGGTATTAGCTGCATAAGGAATGTTGGAAATGTCAGAAATGCAGAGTCTGGAGTCTTTCAGACATGCTCATTTCCATTGGTAAAAGGGGGCCATTTACACTTTTGGGAAATTCAGTTTAAAAGAACCTTCATCAAAGGAGAGACCCTTAAGTTTTTTCTTTAGTCCTTGGTAACCAGCTGCTAGATGATTGAAGATAAATTCTGTTTCCCACTGGACACTGGTTTCTGTTAGAAAATTGCTGTGCTAAGCATTCCCTTGGGTGTGTTTTCCTCCAACAAGGACACCGAGACTTAGGAATCTGATTAGTCCAGAGACCCGGCTGATGTCCGTGGTCTGTGCTGCTGCTGGAAACCATGTGAAGTTCATGAACTGTGCTGCTGCAGACTTCTAAGAACAAGAAAGTTTCTTTTGCAATGGTATCAATGACTGCAGACTGAGATCGAGAGACAGCTTCTCTGACAAGCACCCCCCCCCCAAGAAAATCTAGATAGGAGCCTATTGTAGAGAGTCCTTAAAAATTGTGATAAAGATGCTGAAGCATAGCTCTTTGCAGTTGGTGACTGCTGGTGGGTGTTGGGGCGAAAGACTCAGTTTTCTTTAAGGGCTTGGGCCACTAGCAGTTCCACCAGGCTCCAATGAGTATATGGGCAACGCAAATTGTATTTGGGGAACTTTTATTTGGTGTGGGGAAGTGCAAGGGTGGGAGGATGGACCTGGGAAGAGTAGAAATCGAGTGGGATTTGGGAGCATTGTAGGGAAATTGCAAACAATTAATAAAAATGCTATGTTAGGGAAAATGTGATTTAAGAGCTCACAGTCATTCACTAGAGTTTGGATTTAAAATGCAGACGTTTTGACTCCCGTCCACTGAGCTCTTTTTCTTCTCCTTCCAGGGAATGGCATTTGTTTTTAAAGACTTGAACAATTGTTAGAAAGCTTGTTTTGAACCCCTAAAAAATGAAGCCCTTCTGGAGGTTTCTTTTCAGTTTCTGCCTTTTTATTTTGATGTGGGTTAGGATACATATCTTTAGTAGGCTCTGAACCTCTCTAGTTTATTAATAGGGAATTCATGCCAAGCAGGAAGCCCTTTCTAATTACCATGACATTTCCAATGCTAATGGGAAAAACAATATATGTATGGAGAGTTAAAAAGAATCCTAAGGATTGAATTGGTCTTTTATTTGGTATATTCTGGGCTTGATTCTACTTCTGGGGTTCCTAAAGAAATTCCTGCAGATAAAGCTGTTTATTTCCATTTTATGCAGGGAGCAAGGCAAGAGACACACTTTGTTTTGCTCTTGGTTGACTTGTAATATTTGTGCACAGTGAGTGGGATGGCCAGACCGAGGCAGCAGTTCTCTTGCCCCAGCTTCCTGTTTGGAACTATGGGGCGCTTCTCTTTTTAAGTGTTCTTAAAAATGCCACAGATGATTATAAACTGTTGTCATCCCCTTGTGCTGAGGACTATCAAAACTCGTTCCTTTTGTCTGCCTTTGCTTGGGTGTCCAATAGGCAACTTCCCTTCACCCTTCTCCTATGTTTTCTCACCTTAAATCACCACCATTCTGCACCCAGATGAAATAAAGTCAGTTTAACACAATGTATGTATCCCCTCTCATTCATCCATTTCCTTGCAAATGAGCTCATTCTTCATGGCACGTCATCTTCTACTGTACTGAGACCCTCCTTTTTTTCTCCTCCATTCATGTATGAACACCCGAGTTGATGCTATATCTTTGATAATATGAATAGTACTGGTAAGTACATGCATGGAGATACATCATTGGTATGCTTGCTGACTTCGCATTTTGGATTCATATCTAGAAGCGATAGAGTTGGATCTGACCGAACATCTGTTCTTAAGTTTTTGAAGCACTTTCCCCACTGTTCTCCATGGCATTTCTACAAACGGTAGATGAGTTTGCTTTTGTCCACACCCATGTCAGCGCTTGGTATTCTTCATCTTCACGACAGCCACTGTAGTGTAGTAAGATGATGTCTTACCTGGATTTGCTTCAATTTCTCCCATGGCTAATACACCATGTGTGTTTAGAAACCTGTTGTCCATTTGAGTCTCATCTCCTGCAGCGTGTCTATTCAGGTTATTGGTACATTTTAGTTAGATTGCTTACTTCTTTGTGAAAAAAGTTTTTGAGTCCTTCCTGTAGTTCTAAACATTAATACCTTATCAGGTGAATCGTCTATGAATATTTTTGTGGTGATAACTTGTTTGTAGAAAAAAAGCTTGCCTGAAGACCAGAGGGCAGAGCTAGCTACTAGCTAATCATAGAGGTCTGAAGGTCTGTGCAGACAGACAGGAAGTGATGTGACTGGGTGGAGAGAGGAAATGATAAGGCTGGAGGAGACAGGAGCTCAGTCTCTTTTCGGCTGGGAATTTGAGTAGGTAAGGGGTTGTGCTTTGCTGCTTTGTTTCTCTGATCTCAGCATTTCCCCTTATATTTGGCTCTGGGCTTTTATTATTAAGACCTATTAGAACTCGTGCCGTGCTACAATTCCCTGCTTCTGATTGCTGCCCTTGACATATGCATGCTGTGTGTGCGTATTTGTAGATAAAATGCTCATACACAGAAAATGCGTAAATATTTGAAGAGTGATTACTTAAAACTTGAAAAACGTTTATGGTCACACATATCAGTTCTGTTTTCTGGCAGCTTCCTTCTGATTGATACCCATCAGGTAACGTCTCTAAGCCTTGGGAGTTTAACCTATAAAAGAGCTGAGTGATGTGTGTGATTCAGCCAGGTTGTTCTGAAGAGAAGAATGTAGGTAAGGTGTCCAGACATGTTAGTTCCTTATCTTCTTGTTCAGTCATTAGTAGATTTTCTTAAATATTTATTTTCTTCATAAAGTTAATTTATACTACTAAGACTTAATAAAGAGTAAATAAAAAATTTTTATGCTTTTGCCTGTATTTTTTTCAAGATACCACCTGCTAGGAGCCTCCAGAGAACACACAGTGTTATGCTTGTTTTGTTTTAATATATTATTACATATATTAATATTTAATATATTTCCTCTTCTTGCTTATAATATTTAATATATTTCTTTTTCTTGCTTCTATTTCCTTAGAAAGCAGTTTCTACCCAGTAGTCATGACATCATATGTGCATATGTGTGTATGCTTCATGGCATTAGATAGGAGTCTCTATAGGAACAAGACCAATAGACTACATGCATATTATAAAAGGCAGCTCACTAGCATGACTTGCATGCTAAGGGTTGGTCAGTTCAATGATAGGCATCTGGAGAGGATGAAAATTCTAAATCCATGGAGCCAAATGCTTCAACAATTCCAGTCCATCACTGAAAACCTGGAAGAATCATGAAGAGTTACTTGTTTTCAGTCTACTGTAGAGCTGAAGAATCTAGAAGCTGGTGTTAGCAGAGGATGGAAACATCATCATCGTCATCGTCATCATCATCACCGTCATCGTCATCATCATCATCACCATCACCACCATCATCATCATCATCATCATCATCAGCAGCAGCAGCAGCAGCAGGAGGAGGAGGATAAAATACACTCCCAGAAACCAATGCAGACAAACAAACAGCATGACTTATTGCTCCAACGTCTATATCTAAGCCATGCACTGAAAGGTATACATACACACTGATGGGGCTCTTCCACATTCAGGTAGTCCTTTCTGGAAATATTCACTGACCCACCCAGGCACATTCTCTTAGTCTACTACAGATCCAAGCAAATGAATCAATAGTAACCACTGTGGTTATGCTGAGCAGACTTATGAAGAAAAAGTAAAATGGAGATGTCAGTACTAGACACCATTACGGCTTGCAGTCATTATCTGGAGAATAATAAAGAGGATGCAGTGGCTCTTCAGAGGAGGGGTTTTTACATCTTTATCCCCCATGAAATATTTGATTAATAAGAAACCAATTACTACTTTACATTAGTCATGCGAAATGTTAAAACTTCTGGAGATTTGGAGTACACATAATTCTTCAACATATTGTTTTTTCTTTTTCTTTCCCCTCTTTGGATACATCTCAGTAGCTAGGATCTGGAGTCAGGTCATAGTTCTAGTTTCATCTTTTTGCTATTTTTTTTTTAATTTTGTTCTCTTGTGGAGGCCAGAAGAGGGCACCAGATCTCCTGGAGCTGGAGCTGCAGGTGTCTGTGAGCCACCCAACAGGACTGCTGAAAACTGAATCTTGGGTTATCTGTAAGAGCAGCGTGTGTGCTGAACCCCTGAGCCGTTTCTCTAGTCTATGAATGTTCCCTTTTATCTATGCCTCACACACTTGTCTTCAGACTCACTGCTTATAACCACCTTCCCCAGTCTGAGGTGATAGGCCATTGTGGTTTGGGCTGTTGGTTTGATTAGAGAGGTTGAAGATCTGTCCATATACATGTTGGTCATTTGAATGACTTCTTAGAAAAATGTCCTTAGATTGTCTTTGCCAATAATCAAGTTATCTGTGGATTTTACCTTTAGTTTGCAAAAAAATGTTTTGTTGTTGGATTGTATGAGTTCCTTACATATTTTGGATAGTAACCCTTTACTTTTTTGTTCATTTTTTATATTATAATTTCTTTTCTTTTGTTGTTGCCTACAATATTTATTGAAGTTATGCAAAAAGAATCCTCAAAAGTGAAAAAATACATTATGTACAAAACCACTTTCCTTTGGGAGAAAGGTTCTGTTCCCTCTTAAGATGCAGTGCCTTCAGCTGTAGCTGCAGACTCCACGGTCCCCTCTGCTGTTGCCGGGCTCTTAGCCTCATTCTCGGCCTCGGCCTCCATTTTTTCTGAAACTTTGTGTCCACTGGGGACAGCATCTCCACTGCCTCCGCTCAGCTCCGGCTCTTGCCTGGCTTTCTTTGCATCATCTCTCTGGGGCTCTCTTCCTCTGGTTTCCTCTTTTTTTCTAACAAGATGAGAGGAAACATCAATCACACAATTGGACGAGGAAGCACCGTCTGTTGGTTTTCTATTGGCAATCATGGAGACTGAGGCGCCTGCTCCACCAGCAGTGAGAGCTGAAGAGGAGCTCTCGACCTGAGTAGCTTTCAAGGCCAGCTCAGCTCCATGCCCACTGCGCTGAGACTCCTTTGTATCTTCTAACTTTTCTCTAATTTCAGGTAGCAGTTCTTTCAGCTCCTCAGTTTTTCATATTCAGTAAATGATCCTTCAGCCTCCTTCATCTGCTCATTTAGTACAGCCATTCTCTTTTCAATGACTTCAATAAATCTGTCAAACTGTGCCACTGCCTCACCATACTGAGAGTTGTCACTGTAGGTCAAACCCAACTGGGAGTGAGTCTCTGCAAGGAGATGGTCTTGGGCTTCCAAATATTGTTCTTGGAGGCTTAGACAAGCCTGGAACTCCTCCACAGCTTGGTTATAATTCTCAGATCCAACACTAACTTCTCCAAGTTTAAGATGGGCTTGTGCAGCATAAAGCGGGGTTTCTTTTGTTTCTTGCCTTTTAAAAATGATCTTTGCTAAATCCCGCATATCCCAGACAAGTTCTAGCCTCCCAATCTCCTCCTCTTCGCTTTCTTGAGGAGACTTATTTTCAAGAACTGATTCATTTGTGTTTCCTTTGGCCTTGTCATTTTCTTTGTCTTCTTCCTCTGAGCCTTTAGTCTCTTCACCCTCTTTCATCTGTTCGTCTCTTTCTTGTGTCTCTTCCTTAGCAGGTATCTTAAATTTATCTTCAGGTGCTTTCTCCGTGGCCTTCTGGGCGACCTTGGTCTCAGGCCCATCTTCAGCTGCCTCAGACTCTTCCACCGGTAGCATAGCTTCCTCCTGATCAGGAACCAGCTCTGCCTTGACCTCCTCTACGCTTGACCCATCTTTAGTCTCTGTCAGTCTGTCTGTAGGCGTCTGTGGTTCCCTAGGAGTCTGATCTTCTGTGGCTGATGGCCCGTCAACTGAACCATTGTTGAGAAGAATTGTAATCTCCTGCCCTGGCTTCTCAGAGACTTCTAACCCAGCCTCTGCAGCCACTGCTGGTGACACTTCATCTTGCCCTGACAGTTCCTCAGGAACAGCCGTTCCTACTTCACTCTCAGAGGTAGCTACCTGATCCTTCTACTATTTCCTCCCCACCCACGTCCACCGACTTGACTGCGGCATCAACTCTTTCAGCTTCTCCCTTCATGGCAGTGCCCTGCTTTTCTGGAGCCCCAACAGACTGATCTTCTGAAGTTTCTTTTGGCTTTTTTTCTATGCTTATTATTTCCTCTCCTTCTCCCGATGCACCATTTCTCTGAATTCTTTATTTTGAACATAAGCTCCAGAAACTGATTTCCCTTCCTCAGCACACAATGATGCCCGCTCTGTCTTCCCAGAAGCGACCTCAGCTTCATTCAGTGCTGGTATTGCTGCTTCTTTTGCTTCTCCAGAGGATTCAGTTAACGGCTTTGAAGTTGATTCAGCTTTTCCCTGTAGCTCCTCTGCAGGCGCACTTCCATCCATATCTTCTCGTCCACCCTTCTCCACTTCACTTTCCTGCTCTGTGCCAGTTTCGGGCTTTGACAGAGACTTGCCTTCTGCCTTTTTGGCTTCTTTTCCTCCCATGGCATCATAAACCTGTTCTCTCAACTTTTCCCTTGTTTCCTCATCTACATTATCATTATTTTCAACCAAAGATTCATCTTCTGTCTTTTCTTCTTCCTTTCTGCATGCATTCCTCCAAGGCACTCCCCAACACTCCACTCTCCATTCTGGCTAACTCCAAAAGTGACTTCCCATAAAAAAGCAGGTTTCTCCACATTCATTAGCTGTTTCTCCATACTTCTTACCTAAAAGACTAGCTGCTTCCTGGAATGCATTAACCGTCAATGGAATGTTCTCCATTATCAGATGTTTCTGTTCTAATCCCCAAAGTTTCTTAGCTTCACCAGCCACATCCAGACTCTCCATTTTATCTGCAGAGGTAGAAAGAGCTGGGGCATCTTCAATTTTGTCAGCGGAAATCAGCTCCCCAGTAATGGCAGCAGTGGCTGTAGACTCTGTGACCATCGTTCCCCTGAGGTGGTGAGCCAGTGAGCAGAACACTGCCTGTGCAGTAAACAGAACATTGAGGACAGCAAAGATTTACTCAGGTACAGAAAATGGTGTATTGGCAAGATTAGAATTTCATTGCAACATTTATCTCTTACTTTTTCCTCCTCTAAACCTCCCACAACTCCCTCCCCACTCTCCTTCAAATTTATGTTCTCTCTTTTGTTACTGCATGCATATGTATTTGTATATATGTATAGTTTCTTTAATATAACCTGTTGAGTCCATATAATGTTACTTGTATGCATATTTCAAAGGCTGACCTTTTGACACTGGATGAACAATTGGTGTGCTCTTCCCTGGGAGGACACCTCAACTGCTCCCAGCTTTCCTCACTTGTCTATGGTTTTTTGTGTAAGATATTAATTCTTTATTATACATATAGTTTTCTACCACCATATGAGTTGACTTTTTATATTTTTTGTTTGATATATAGTTTTGCAGATTCATGTATTCCTGCTTCTTTATTCCGTTGATATGGAAGAACTGTGACATAAAATCCAGTGGCCCGTAATTAAAAACGTGCTTCATTTGTCTATGCCCACCATACGTCTCAGTGTCACCCATACTCTTGTCTTGAAGGTGACCCTCCCCGTCTCTGCTATAGATACTATTCTCCCCCGTTTCAGTTGCCAGAATAGAGCCTTGATCTCAGCAGGAGCTTGTGTTTTGCATCAGTGGGATGCTGTAGCTTTAGTTCCTACTTTTCACCACCAATGTTTGCCTTCAAAGCAACCATGAACTCATCATTAAAGGCAGCATGCCATGTAGAATTTTCAACATGACATAGGTACTAAAATGGTATCAGTGAGACAGAAAACATTGTGTATTTCAAATACAGATCAACTGGAATCAAAATAACAGCCTTATGGGACAAAAAATTATGCAACAGGAAACAAAATCTACATGTTTTGTTTTGTGTTTCATTTTTCATATGCTCTTTGGTCTGTCAAAGAAAAGGGCAGTATTCAGCTTGTAAAATGTTTTTACAGCAGTTGACAAGCATTTATTACCTGCTTGGTTAGAATGAAAGCTGGGTATGACATTAATCACATTTTTACAATTGTTCTACTTTCTGAGCTCTCAGAAAACATGGAGCCAACAATTTACAAGATTTAATCTTTTCCTTTTTAAAATACTTGATAGAGTTGTGTATTTAATATGAGCATGAACTGAGTGAGCACCTGTCACCGCTCAGGGTAAACAAGCTCACAGCTAACCTAGCTTTATCATTGAAGACACTTTCTACAGATTTAAATGGTAAGCAGAAAACAGAACTCCCATGATAAGTTGTATTCCTTCACAAATCAATAATTGAACACCTCTGTATGCAGGCATTGTGTGAGGTACCACACAATAAAGAAATGTAAGGTGCCACAGAATAAAGAAAAAATAAGCCACAGCCCAGGATACGTCAGCCAGCTTTTCATCTTGATCAGCATTTGTGTTTCCAGCATATCTTCCCAGTAGAATTCATCCAAAACTGTGTGCACTCAAATAGCTTACTCTGTGCATACTTCTTCAATTGTCATTTGCTGGATGCCCCAGATAAAATATATAATAACATAGCTTTATTTCTTTCCCAGGGGATCTTAAAATCAAGTTTATAAGATAGATATTGATTCAAATCAGACATGTAAAACCAAACGTATATGTTCAACATCTGTAATAATGAGTGTGAGGAACCAGAGTTTATGATACCACCGTGATGTTCCAGAGGGATGGGTGTGTTTATGAAGGCATACGAAAGCATTCACTGGTGTGGTCGGGGGAGTTTTAGGATGCAATTAGGATGCCAAGCAGAGGAAAGAGAATAGGGAAGTCCCAATGGTCAAAGGTGAAAAGGGCGATAAAGCAAATAAGTCAACGATTATGTTGATTCATGCATCCCTGGGTAAAGGGGTTCAACAAGTGGTCAGGATTTCCAGTTTCATCTTAGGACAAACACTTAATGTGTTTTATGTGGTTGAGTGATGGGTGTGTGCGTGTGTGTGTGTGTGTGTGTGTGTGTGTGTGTGTGTGTGTGTCTGTGAGAGAGAGAGAGAGAGAGAGAGAGAGAGAGAGAGAGAGAGAGAGAGAGAGCGTTTCCAACAGGGGCTCCAGTCAAAGATGGGAAGGAAGGCAGAGAGGTATGATTGGGGCGGAGAAGACATAAGTTTGCTTTGGAACATGCTGAAAGTGGTGTTTTTATATTCTCTAAGTAGAAGTGTCAAGTGGGCAGTGAGTTTCGCAGTTCTGCAGCTCAGGAAGAAATGTAGGCTGTGAATGAAGGAGGTGACTGAAGGCATGGGTGGAAGGAATGTTGCCTTGGCAAGAAGCCTTCAGTAGGATGGGCAGCAGGGCTAGGGTACGACTTTGAGGAATGCTACCTTTCAGTGTCTGGAGGAAGAAAAATGACGTAAAATGGTAAAACACACCTTAGAAAGAGCCAAGGGACTGGGAGAAAAAAGATCCATGGAAACTTATAAAAATCTGCAGGAAAAAGCATAGAAGCCCTTGATAACCTTAAACCGTAGTTCTGCTTTTAAAAAATATTCAAGACTGCCCAGGTAGTGACAGAATCTTTGTCTTTCAACACCTCTGGGCAGCACATTCTGTTCAGTGAGTGCAGGAGGCATCATGGAGTCATTCAAACAGCAGGTATATATACTCCCTAAGAAGCTACATGTCTGCGTAATGAAAAGATTTGCACAATGAAAACATTGAGAGGGAAGAGGGTAGACTAATTGCAAATCTTCACTACTCCCTAACTCCTCCAAATCCATCCCCAAGTCTCATCCACAGGTCTACACCTGCTGAGGCCACACTTGTCCTGCTGCCACCATCTCCAGTGGACCACACAGATCTTCCCTTCCAAACTTCCCTCCTTTCTCTCATTGCCCCGTCCCATCTCCCAACCTCAGCGACACTCCCTGGGGTCCACAGGCTAGTGAAGGAGGCTAAACACAGATCTGGACATCTTTATCCATATCTCCAAATCCAATTGCCCAGCTGCAGCATCTCTTTATTCTCTGCTCCCAGTCTCAGGGGACTAAGCAGATCCTGGTGGAACACCCTGCTTTCTGAGGGTGAAATCCATCAGAGATTCTACCTCCTAGCCCATCCCCATTCCTAAGTGTCAGCTCTCAGTACCTAAAAATACATTTTACCTTGAATCCCCAATGGCCACACCTACCTGAATCCCAGAAAAAATTCCCTCCAGATACCACATAACCAACATACTTTCTTAAGAACCAGAGAGGGCAACAGAAACCATGGAGCAAAACATTCCCCCAACAAAGATAAGACCAGATATTAGCACCTAGAATTACAATTTTTCCAAACCTAGGTACCTAGATGCAAGAGTGAAAACAGTAAATAAGAGTCAGGACAATATGTCTCTACTAGAGTCCAGAAACCCTACCACAACAGGCCCTGAGTATTCCAACATGATGAAGCGCAAGAAAAAGACCTTAAAATAGACTTTACGAATATTATAGACATCCTTAAAGAGGAAATTAATAAATCCCTTAAAGAAATATATGAAAACACAAAGAAGTAGTAGGATATGAATAAAACAGTTCAAGACCTGAACATAGAAATAGAATCAATAAAGAAAACTTGAACTGAGGGAAATTAGAAATGAAAAATTTAGGAACTTGAAGAGGAACCTCAGTGGGCAAGCCTCACCAACAGATAGAAGAGAAACTCAGGCACTGAAGACATGCTAGAAAAAAATTGGATACCTCAGTCAAAAAAAAAAAAAACCATTAAATCCAAAAGACTCCAGTCATAAAATTCCAGGAAATCCAGGACACTGTGAAAAGATTAAATGCAAGAAAAATAGAAATATAGGAAGGAGAATAAACTAATGTCAAAGACACAGAAAATATCTTCAATAAAATCATAAAAAAAACTTTCCCTAACTCAAAGAAGGAAATGACTATCACGGTTACAAGAAGCGTTCAGCATGCCAAATAGACTGAGCCATTAAAGGAAGTCTCCTCAACACATAATAATAAAAACACTAAATGCATAGAACAAAGAAATTATATATATGTATATACATATATAATAACATATAAAGGATGACCTATTAGGATAGCATTTGATTTTTCAATGGAGATTATAAAAGCCAGAAGGGCTTGGACAGATGCTCTATAAACTCTAAGAGACCACAGATGCCAGCCCAGACTACTACACCCAGCAAAACTTTCAAACACAATGAATGTAGACAATAAGACATTCCATGATAAAAAGCTAAATTTAATCTCTGTATTTCCACTGTGTAGTCTGAGGTAGTTGATGTGTGTGGGCTGGGTGCCTGTGGAAAGGAACCTCATGATATGATCTGAGGAAACTGGAGGAAGACAGCAGAAGCCGAGCTTCTGTTGCACTAGCCACAGACTTACAGCTACCTGAGTGTCAACCCAAGCTGGAGGGAGGGTCGCTTCTTCTTCCTGACTGCCCGGCTAGCTTAGACCTGAAATAATCACACAGAAACTGTATTAATTAAATCACTGTTTGGCCCATTAGCTCTAGCTTCTTATTGGATAACTCTTACATATGAATTTAACCCATTTCTATTAATCTGTGCATCATCACATGGAAGTGGCTTACCAGCGACGTTTCAGCATGTCTGACTCTGCCTGTGGCTCCATGGTGTCTCTCTCTCTGCCTTCCTTCTCTCAGCATTCAGTCCAGTTTTCTCTGTCTACCTACATTCTGACCTACCAACAGGCCAAGGCAGTTTCTTTATTCATTAACCAATAAAAGCAACACAGAGACAGAAGGACCTCCCACACCAGAATGTCCTTGGTCAAATACGTAGAACTGGAAAATATCTCATTGGAAGAGGTTGTTGAACTAGAAAATGAGGAAATATGGACTACACCCCAGTCAGAGCAATTCATGTTCCACGATGACTGGAATAGACCCTGTTCGGTTCTTATGATAAAATTTTCAGATCTGATCCTTTG